AAGAAAGAAATAACATTTAAATCTTTATCTTAATAAAAAATACTGATCCAAATTATTGTTCAAGAACTGCAGCTTATGATAAACTCATAATAAAATAAAAATACAAATAGAAAGTGAGAAATTAATATCCCATCTGAAATATCAGCACGTCACTAAGAAATCAAATAGTCAAATGTCATATGTATAAACCCAAAAATAATCATAAATCTGTTAAAATAATTAATAAAATCTCGAATAAGTTTCTTGGCATTACTGTTTGAGCTAATGGAACGCTGTAAACTCTTTGATTTCACCAATAATCTTTTATTGTCGGTAACTTTACTAAGCCCATCCAACCAATAAGAGCCTAGCAAAGCGGCAATACTGGAAAAGAAGATGTATCATCCATTATTTCAAAATTTAAATACTTGCTGACAGGCCAAAAAGTGTGCTAAGTCCAGCTGGATTACTGAATGCAGGATCTAACAATCACAATAAAATGTACATATCTCCGTTTACCAATAAAAAGGTAAATGAAATAACTTAACATAGACCGATAGACATATAGGTAGAAAGAATGTTGTAAATAAGTACAAGTTCTCAGTAAATAATAATCCACAATTACTAACCCTAAGTAAATTTTATCTTTGAATGAGATAATAATTTGTGTTCGATCCCTGCAACATGTTTATTATTAACTGCATGTGAAATTAAATATTTTAATTCAATAAATAATTAATTTTTTATACAAAAAAAGTTCAGAACTGAACACAATCTTAAAAAATTGAAATCTAGGGGTTCAAATAGTGAAATAAAATTTTATTAGTTAAAATAATGTGTGTGATGCTAATGACTGTCATCGACATCATCAATAATTTGCTTTGGATTTTATATTGAATCCATTATTTAAAATTAAGAACCTTTTTATTCCTACACTTATTACATCTCACAGTACTGTCAAATAAAGAAATTCTATAGATAAAATAAACAACTTATCTCTCGTTGTAAACGTACATTACGTATATTTTTCTTTCTTTCACTATCCTTCTAAAACGTGAAGGCCCTCGTTCACATTATTATCGTCTCTTGTGATGTTAACTTTGTTATTTATTGTGTGTGTACATGGTTTGCTGCTCTGAAAATTACTTTCAGTCCAGTGGAAATTATTATTTATATGTTTAGAGACATGTGACTGTAACAGACAGGATTTTTATATATTTTTTTGTAGATTAAATAAGAGAATTGAATTTAATACAAACGTGTGAAGAAAGGTGATTTTTTGTACGTGTGGTAATCTTTCCACTGGTAGCAGATTTTTAATTTTTTTTTAAAATAGTGAAAATAACTAAGAAAAACTTTTGTTTAATATTAAAAAAGTGTATTATTATTTAGCGTATCATAAGTTTAAAAGTAGCCCAACTTCACTATAACTATATCATAAGTTAAAGACATTAGTTAAAAATAAATAAAGGTATTTAATTATTAAACTTCTTTACTTGTCTTTTTATTATAGTTGGTCCTTCTCTGGAAGAAACTTCTGAAATTTCCTTCCATTGTAAAGCAGTAAATTATTTCCGTATTCTCTTTTTACTATATAATTGCATTAACTTAGAGTAACAACCTATTTGCAAACATTTATTGATTAAATTTAGTCTTAACTAGTTTTAGTTCGTCGAAAGTTGATTCTAAATTAAAAGCGCCGGAAGGTTGTAATCGGTACGTTACTTATAAAAGCACAATCAACTATTCCAATGCATAGAGTGCATTTCGTTTATTTTCTTCAATTTATTGAAAATCCGAAAGAGAAATAACTAATTTTATTTACTGTTGTGAAAAGATGATTACATTAAAAACGTACAGTAAACAAAGAAACGAAAAATTAATTGCAACCGAAAATAAAACTTTTCATTCAACGAATCTTAATAAAGTTACCAAAACTTTTGGGTTAGAATTTTGTCCAAAACTGGCGGATCTAATTAAAATATCGCGGATTTTATCATTTTCCTACACGAAAAGGAAGTGGCACTTTAACTTGTTAATCACATTATTTTTAATTGGGTTTCCTTACGATAAAAGTTCGACCTGAAACGTTACCCTTTATTACAAGTTCGTTATATTGAAAATTGGTGAATGTTGGTAAAACATTATTTTAAACCAACTATAAAACGGCTACAAGTAATCATATAAATTGACTCTTATATACCTATGAAATAAACACAATACATTCAGCAATTTGTATTTTGTTGGGTATTTCCTGCTATTGTCTAAGGAACTCAAATATAAACAATATTATTTACACTTCGAATCAGGTTGAATAATATGAAGATGACATATGACAAACAAGCGAAACCACTGCTCCCTCTCTTAAAAGCTGATGGTATGGAGTGCCAGTTAATTGCTACTGACATGGTATAGTCATTTAATTTCATACCTTTTTGGTTTTGTCTCGTTGATGGTGAAACCAGATAATTCTCCATTGTTTGCTTTTCTTTATTATCCCGCATTGGATACATTTTCAATATTTTCTGACGTGCTGAATTGATATTCTACTGACTTTGAATTGAATCTATATCTTTATAGTAGATATCTATAATGTAATGTGCCTGTACTTACTGTTAAAAAAAATCGTTCATCTCAAATATTGTTTTTTCATGATCACTATCAAATAGTGTCTGGGTTAATCTAAAAATCTTATAACTAATCACTTATCTAAAAAGTCCCCATCGGGCTGTCTTAATTGTTTCTATAGGAAAGCATCACAAGTTGGCGTGACGATTTATTGCACTATATTACACTAGCACTAACATTAACGTTCACTGCACTAGCTCAAATGGCTTCTTCCTTTTGAGCCTTTTGTTGAGTGTAGAGTTGTACAGTAATTGCAGCGCTTCTTCGTTGATGTGGGAGTGGAGTCGACCCTCATGTTTCGCAGCAAACCTCTTTATTTCTTCTACGATTGTTGACATCTTCAAGTCTCTATGAAGATAATCGTTTCGGTAGAACCAATGTGCATCAACAATGCATCTTAGGACTTTATTTTGGAAAACTCCGCCAACTGCCACTATTGCAGTGTTATCCGCAAATGTTGAGGGATATTGCTGATGTATAATAAGTAAAGAACCGGTCCTAGAACGCTGCCTTGTGGGACACCTGCTTTAATTTCTTTCATTTCGGAGTATGCCTCGTCTTACTTTACTCTAAACATTCTTCCCGTTAAATGTGATTGTAGAATGTCGACATATTGTCTAGGGAGCATTTTTTCAAGTTTCTGTATTAGGCCAGCTTGCCAAACCTTGTCAAATGCTTGGGCTACGTCAAGAAATATAGCTGAGCATATATATTTTTCTTCGTAAGCTTTTTCGATATCGGCTATCCTGTGTACTTGATCTATTGTTGAGTGTTTGTTTCTAAAACCAAATTGGTGCGAAGGGATTAGATTTTTATTTTCAATTATCGGTTTTAGTCGTTTTAGCAGTAGTTTTTCAAATAACTTAGATATTATCGGTAACAATGATATCGTGTGTTCCTCCATGCAGCTTGCTGGATTTCAACTATAAACCTTTCCAATTCTTCATCTAGCTGATTTTTCGTTTTTAGTGTTATGGTCAGTTGAATAATATTTGTTAAGTCTCTAATTTGACAATGAATTATCATTCTCAAAGTTAAAGCTATGTCCCTCTGTAACTAATTTTGCAAAAATAGATTGAAAATCATTAAAAATTGGAAAGTTATTATTTTGTTTACTGCTTTCTTTTTTGTTGGGAGTCCATTTTTTATAGCACAGGTGGTATATTCCTTACACCAGTCCTTTCGACTTCCCTTTTCTCGCAAAACATCCTATATATTCATGAACATACTTATATATCTTAGATCGACCTTAAAAAAATGAATTTATAAGTAATACATGAAAAATGAATTTTCCTAAAAAGTTGAAACTCACTCCGTTATAATATAAAAAACTCTTAGCACTGCTCTTTTATAGCAGGAAGTCGAACTGATCGCATATTCAAAATGGTGAACTATAATCCGTAAAAATCCTCTTTAGTCGGAAATGAATAGATTGTGTCATTTTCATGAAACTGATAGGAAAAATTATTAAGAACTTTTTTTAAAATAAAACGGATTAAGTGACACAAGTAACGGACATTTTCGTAGTCTGTTTTCATTGTTTCCAGTTAATATTCAACTTTATAAAATGACTTCTAGGGATAAAATTTTCAAATCGTGAGTTGCAAGTAGATGATTTCTAAAACGCTTAAAACTGCTTTATTTTTTCGATTTATTTCTTGTTATTTTTTAATATTTACCTACGTTAAATTATTATAGTATTTTGTTATCTTCTTTGATTTGTTTTCTTTATTTTTTAACGACTTCTGTAACTTGTGGAAAGTGGGTTAACCCATGACACTTAGGTCCATTTTGTTTGACTTTGAATATTCTGATAGCATAATATTTATAATGCCCAAAAGCCTTATCCACTCTATTTCTATGCCCCTGACTGCGGAAAATTAAACCATAATTCCATTGTTAATTCTCGATTCATCCTGGTATATTTATTGTTATATTCGGCGTACTGCAAGCTAAATTGTATTAATTAAAAAAACCAATGTAACTTCAACAATTTGAAACACCAATCCCAACAACGTTAAAAGATATGAATATCTGTTTTAAATGCAGCTGTGGTTTGTAATTATAACTACAAATATAGGGTAATGTATATGTAAAAGTATGAAAACACTATGCTAACAAATACCCGATTTGAATTCAGCAGTAGTGTGGTTGAAAGTTAAAATGATTAATTATTTTCATTTAACTTTAACCGTAATGAGATAATCATTAGAGAAATACATTTAGCACAACAAAATATATATAATAATAAGTTAAATGTTTTATCAACTAAATTTTTCATTTAATATACAAGTAGGTTGGTTCTCTAGTTGTTTATTTATGAGAATCCATCGGATTATGAAGAAAGCGAATGAAGAAATTAAAATAACTATTCTTTTATTTTTTTGTTACAGGTCTCATTTTTTTCAACAAGTCCTGAACTTAGCAACAAACAACGTTTCGAGTATTTCTCACGAACAATTCCATCAGATTTTTATCAAGTAAAGGCGATGGTTGACATCGTCCGTAAAATGGGATGGAGTTATATTTCAATTATTTATGAGGAGTCAAACTATGGAATTAAGGTGAGTTATTCATACATTAACCAATTTTTTCTTAAATAATTGTTTAAAACAGTATTTGTCTAGGACAAAAATAAAACTAATAGAGTTATTCTAATCTTATTGTTCTAATACAACAAAAAATAATAATAAGGTTTATATTTTCTGTGTCCTCCACAAATTGGTCCTGCAATTACGAAACAGTCTTCTTGCGAATAAAAATTGTTATTGGTTGCAGCACATCCACCAAATAGACTTAATACGCATCTTTGAAGACGGTGATCCCAGTGCCATACGGGAATACGTGCTCTGCAATGTACGAAGGGTTGTTGTACATCTTTGGTGCAATCTGAAACAAAGGATAGGGTTTAGATGTTTCAAAGTTACTTGGCAACACATGAAATCTAAAATTAAAATTTAAAAAACATGTGATTGCTAGATGTTATGAAATTGATTTGAATTTTTACATCTCCTTTACTTATCGTTCCTCTATATGGGGAATATTACTGCTCAAAGCCAAAAAAGAACGGAAGTTGTTTACATTTACCCTCTTCAATCTCGAATGTTTATTTCTACATCAAATAAAGCTGCTTTTGAAAAATATATGCTAGCAAATAATAAGAAAGAAAAAGATAAGTTTTATTCCAATATATTCAGAATCGTGCAAAACTGTTAGTTTGTTTCCTAAAGAACAGTAAAATATTTAAAAAAAATTGAAAAGCAATTATATTTTTAGTTTATATAAAAACAAAATCAAAAAACTACTGGATACAAAAAATTCCAAAAAATTACTCAGTGTCCTTTTACTGTCATATGACCGAAAGATATTTCATAAAGTTATCAATAAATTGAAAATTTCATTAAAATCAATCAGAGTTTTTTTATATAATAATAAAAACAATTAATACTCTATATACAGGATGTTTCTAAATTCATGCGACAAAATTCAGGAGGTGATTGTTTGTATGAAACTAAGATGGCTCTTTCCTATAACAAAATTTCCTCAGCCCACCCCTTTCCGAGATATCACCCTTAAAAGGTGGTGACTAAAATTAAATTTTTATTTTTTTTCTAAAATTTCAGTAAAGCTAGAAACTTGAAATTTTGAAATTTTCGTGCACTGACTAACCACGGGTATTTTTTCAATATTACTGTTACATTATATGGGGTTGAAATTAGCAACTCTTACTTTATTTCATCTCGAAAAAAAGTTTTGATATAAAATAAAGTAAGGGTTGCTAATTTCACCCCCCTATAATGTAACAGGAAAATTGAAAAATAATCAATAATTTTTTTTTGTATCTTCATTTGTATTCTCGACCATTTTGTAATTATTTCTTGGGTTTGTACCATCCTTCTATACCATATCATCCGACAATTTTGTTCTATTATCTCCATCTTATCTTCTTTAAATTGTTTTACCTTTTCGATTGGTCTTATTTATGTTGCTCTATTTCAAGCATATCGACTTATCCAATGTGTCTCCCTTCTTCATCTTCTTTTTTTCTATTTTTTATTTCTAACACTATAAATATATAAATTTTACTTAAATAATTGTTAAAAACAGTAACACGTAACAAAATAACAATTTAAAATTGTGGATGTGTTTTAATATATGTTGTACAAAATCATATTGTGTTAATAACAAATAGTATTTAAAACTTTTATATTTTTTGTGTCTTCTACAAATTGGTCTTGCAATTGATAAACATTCTTGTTGTGTATAAAAATTGTTATAAAACAATACAAGTAATAATTTTCGTATAAATATTATAATTTGTAAAGAATTAACCTAACCTTAATAACCTTGAGTCATATTTGTGCGATACAACAAAGAAAATTTTACAAAAACTAAAGGAATAATAGAAATTTATTAATAAAAACCTTTTTTTAACTGGTATAGCTGAAGGAACAATTTATAAAAGTTTAAAAGATAATTCCAAAGAAAGACACAAGACAAAACTAGTGCATTATATAAAAAAATACCCTTATTAACATAGTTATTGGTCTAAAATAAAAAAAAAACTAGTGTAACTTACTTTTATCCTAAGATATAGTATATTAGAGCATCAACTAGAAATACTCTGTAGTATCTACCGATATTTATGCAAATTTGCAAGAAATGCATTTTCATATTGCATATTACACCAGCTAAAAAAATTTATTGTAGACTTTGTCATAGATTTTCTTGGATTTACCTGTATTAAACTTAATTTTGAATCTTCTGCTATTGTAGAAATTTCCAGTGGTATTTCGGAAACCATTTCATTGTCACTACTTTGCATTATATAAAAAAACTTTTTTAAAAATACACTATGGAGTTTACAATACGCGACCATCTATTCTAGTCTTATTGACTTAGTTGCTATGCTGGCGCGATTATTATTTTCTAATCCTATTGATCACAAACGCACACAGCGTTTATGTAACTTTCAAAATTGGGGTCCATGAACGCATGTTTTTCGCCCTTGATATATAAGTAAATATTTTACCAGTGAAATTACATTTTATATCATTATTAGGATACAAATTTTAGCATATTTGTGTGCGGGCTTAAACAACAAATAAAAATTAAATATAAAAAAATGATAGATATTTATTAGAAAGAGCTAAATGAAATTCATATTTTCTAAATTTGATAAGCAACAACCAAAAGCAATTTTTTGCATATAAATGTTAAATCTTACCATCTTCAGAAAAGAAAGTAATAGCTGAAACTGCATTAAATACTGCCAATATTATAAATAAACTAAATGTTATTATTTTCATCATTTTTGTACTTTTATTCAAAATGCATACTGGTATAAAACAAACAATACGAATTTGAGTAACTTAGCGAATCATATAAATAATAAATTTTTTAATGGTCTTAACAATATTAAAAATAACTGCCTATTGTATTTCAAGATTTAATAAACGAAAAATTTTTTCCTAAATGACTGATAAAAAACTGCCTACTTTGTTATTATTTTTTACAAACTTTACTGGCAAAGATAAGGTAATTGATACATTGGTGAGATTAAAAAACAATTTAATTTTTTTGTAATTCATAATTACTTTCAGAATATTTGGATAATAAAATTAGTTTTTTATATAGAAACACTGTAATAGAATGATTGGAATATTACGTAAAAAGGGGCTGATTGTAACAGTCGAAAAAAATAAGATAAACGTGTCTCAAACGCGCTTACCTTCTGTGTTGCATCATATTGTTCGTCGGATGAAGTAGGTAGTAGTATTAGCACAGCTTATACAATATACAGCTCCACAACTCCGAGTCGGCGTCTTTGATCTGGCGGTCGAGAACCAAGCAAGACGGAATGGTGCTATCTCTGTTAGATTCGAGGGAAAAGTCGGGCCCGGATTAAACAATTTTTTTATTATTGAAAAAATTGAAAACCTTGGCGTAATAAGGTTGGTTACATGCCATATTAAGTAAGTTTTGGGAAATTAAATTTTTAATTTGTTTTAAATCTGTCAAATATAATTAGAAACATTATTTAAATATAAATATTACGAAAAATAGCACATCTTTCGGATTAGAGGTAAAATAATTTGTATGTGGCTAGTAAAATCCTCGTTAACAAATGTTTTGAGCTAAAACAGTCACTTCACGACAAATTGTGGCTTGGATCCTTTTTACACCAACGGCTTCAATTGTTAAAGAATTGTGTCACGCTCGTGGATGCAAATCAAGTGGTACCCCGTGTCTCTGGCAAGTGTTACTCTTCGCGCAAAGGGTTTATACCTAGATAAACGAATGCTTCGACTGAGGTCTGGGAACTCTATGGTATTTTGGAATTATAAAGAATTTTTATTTTAACAATATTGGTTATATTTAGATGTATTCTTATTAATTGAAATACAGATTTGTAGAAGTAATACTTTGACAGTTTTTATTAATATAATATATTCAATTTTTATCTGACCATACCGAAGTAGGGAATTTTGAAACTTTATAGTAATGTGAAATTTGAATTACAATATTACACGATATTACATAATTAGTACTTATTTTAGGTAGGTACTAAATTTGTACTTGGAGAAAGTAATATCGATTTTTATAAGAAAACTTGAAAAGTAAATTAATTTAGTTCCTATTTCTGATGTAAAACTTAAGTTTTGGTTTAAACCAAGAAAACAAATAAATTATAGTTTGTTCAACAAGGGTGGATATGATAGCAATATCACACAAAGACGAAGTTTGAGCACGACGTCGTATGCGGAGTACTCAATCGTCTGATTGTGATATGAACAATCCACTCGATATGGTCAGTATATTTTTTCTACGACCCACTAACGAAAATCTACAAATTTAAAAAATTATTTTAGGTTATTTAGACAAAATAACTAATTTTAAAATAATTTACGAAGTTGACTAATTTATAAAATAAAATTAACATGAAAAATTAATTAGTCCTCGGCCTAGATTCGATCCCGGGCTTTTCGCGTGGAAGGCAGATGCTCTGTCCTCATCTTCACCGAAACTTTCAGGACTTTAGTTTTAATACTCGTAATTAAATTAGTATCATGTAGTTTGATTAAAATTTATTTTTTTTTTAAATGTGGACACAATAAAAACAAAAATGCTATTATTTATCGAGTCTACACAAAAATTTTAATGTATATTTAATATCAATAACTAAAATATATATTGACAATTAGTTTAACAGAATTGTCACTTATTTAAAAAAAATTAAATAATAGGAGTTGGGTGACCAAAATATGAACTGTGATTTGTAGATTTAATTTTGTTAAAGTGTTCTCACTACCTAAAATGGATATGAAATATATTCGTAGTTGAACGCAATAACAGACTTTTTCGTTTTGTAGTATGTGCATAGATTGGCTAATATCCATGCACAGATTACAAAACGAAAAAGTATGCTATTGCCTTCAATTGAACGAATATATTTCATATCCATTCTAGGTAGTGAGAACACTGCAAAAAAAAATAAATTCGCCAATCACCGTTCATATTTTGATCAACCGACTGCTATTATTTTTAAAATTTTAAATAAATGACAATTCTGTCAAACTAATTGTCAGTATATTTTTTAGTTATTGAGATTAAACATACAATAAAATAAGTTATTCTTTTGGAAAACGTTAGCATGGATGAATAAAGGGTATTGGGTTAATTAATTCTAAAAGTGTGGTACAAATGTTATTTTTTGTAGCCAATTCTTCAAAATTATTTTGAAATATCTTTTCAATATTAAATATTAGTTCTACAAATTCATCATTTGACAGTTGCAGATTTCCAAATGTATCTGGATTGGCGTTATCATATGCCTTTAAAAAGCAATAAAAAGAAAAATCATCTAAATCAACGTGATCTTTGTTATATTTAAGACAGGTATCGTAAAGGAGTGGATCCGCAAAGCTTTTATTAAAAGGTAACCACACACATACCTGATAAAATTTTTCTGTATCAATTCGTCTTTACAATAATTTAGGGTGTTAATAATTTTATCATAAAATAAAATACAAGGTGTTCCATTTAAAAAACATACATTTTAATTTGCCAGGCAAAAACGTGACACCCTGTATATCCAAAGATATTTTTAAAATATGTAGGTATTTTTCAATTCCATATAACTTTTATTTAAAACTTTCTTGTGTGTCTACAACAAAATAATGAACAATAACGCACTAATGGGATACCCTGTATAAATTATATTTTTAACAATGAAAATTTCTTATAATGTGGTTCTTATCGGTTTGGGTCCTTGGGAAAACTAAAGAATGTTTTCTTGCAGGTATAACCCTTATTAAAACAGCTTTTGACTGCACAAACAGAATGATGTCTTTTTTTTTTTTCACCCATTCTACTCATAGCTAAAGAGTCACCAAAATAATAACAGTACCTTTAACTCAAACAAAATCAACGAAATTATAGGCTCCACGAAATTATACAATCAACGAAATTATAGGCTCCACAAAATTATATAATCAACGAAATTATACGCACGACTCAACACCTTACCTAAGTACGCTTCTGAACACCAAAACCGTCTTTTCCCTTCGAAGGCGGAGCTTAAGCGATGCGCGACAAAATCGACGCAAACCGTTGCCGCCAAGAGAGTGTTTTAGCTGTATTGTTAAGCTGTGGTATTAGTCCAGTAGCCAAGACCGGGCCCGGTTACACAGTTTATATAATAACGTTTATTATACAGGATTTTATAATAGCGGATTTAACGGCACATACACACCACAAAGCGTTATTGTCGCGACAATTGCTGTAGTTCTTCTCCTCGTCCAACGGCGCTTCACTTGTCTTACAGTCAGACGAAGCGCATGTGTGGGCCAAAGTTTTAAGTAAGCGATTTGAGACAAAGCGCGAATATTTAAATAATAAAATAGGAATTAATTCATTCTGGAACAAGCACAATATCTCAAAACAAAAAATACTAGAAACGTAAAATTTAGATTATCCGAATAAGATGCTTTCGTATACTCGTATGCTTTCCATTTTATATTAAACGAGTCGAATTCAATAAATTCTACTTTTAAAGAATGCTCCGTCACGTCGTTTCATGTCATGTGATTACAATTTACGGCTAACCAAATAATTAATGTGCCAGAGTTTTACGCTTCAGAATTTCCAATTCGCTGGTGCGAAAAATTAAAGAATATCTGATTTTTATTACATTTTTGCTTTATTTATTATCACAATTTCCAATTCAATTTAGTCATCGATCATAGTATTTTTCTTATTCGTAAACGACGCTACAGTAGTAATTAAAACGTAATTTTATTAGACTTAAAGAATCTTTTTTCTTATAGAGGATTCAAGTGAAAATAAAATATACATACAAAGCCGTTTCTAAAAGGGAGCAAAGCCGCAGGACGGCATATCCCTAGAGGCAGCGTGGTCGCGGGAAAGAGCTAAAAGGCTAAGGGGTAAAAAATCTGCCAATAAATGGACAGAACTGTAAATTTCACGAACATAAATGTATTCATACATAGAGGTATTACTAGTACCTAATAATTAATAAATATGGACGCTGTTGTGATTGTGTTTTTTTATTCAGACTTACTATTAAATATTTCTTTGGTAGAGGAATAAATGTTTAATGGCCTGGCCTGAGATGACACACCTGAAATCCAAGGAAACTCGCTTGCGGGCAATATTTTATCATTTGTTTAAAAACCAAGATATACTCGTATATAAGTTTCTTTATATAGGGTGATTTATTGGACGGACATACATTAACGTTAGATGAAGGTCAGCGAGATAATTCTAAATAACCCCTGTTTAATAGATCTTTGGTCGGTAATATCAATTTTGTCAATTTTCATAACTTAAAGAAACCCTACAGTTTTCATAAATGGTAATATCACTTTTCTTTCATACATATTTGTGAGTTCATTTTTATATAGAGATGATCGCCCTTATTTTTTAACAATTCAGCAGCTATACTTACGTGGGTTTTGCATTAACAAAATTATGCAAATTAATCATTGACAGTTAAAAAATATAAACCAAACGTTTAAGTTTTCCGATAAAATAACGGCTTTATTACGACTTTAATGTAAGTTAAACTATTACTAGTACGTACTTGTTCATAGCTACATTCCTACCTACCAAACGAAGGTGTTTGAAAAATAAACACAAACTTTTATCCAGCCACAATGGCATGTCACGTAAGATTTAAAAATAGTTAATAATAACAACAAAAAAGTAACGCACTATCATGAACATAAACATTGAAAAATAAAAAAACACGTTCAATGAGAAGGCTGACACTCAGACTCATCAATAATTTTTTTAATGTTTGCAGTATAATTTGATACAGCCATTCGAATACAATTATCCAGATGTTCATCTGTAAGTCGATTGCGATATTTGTTCTTAATAAACTTCATATTGGAAAAAGAAGATTCACACAAATAGGTTGAACTGAATAATGCTTTCACTTTCAAGGCAACACGGCATAGAACTAAATATTTGTATTTACTTACAATAGGTCAGATACATTTGGTACTTGAGACTAACGATTTTAAGGCTAAATCATTTTGAAACTCAATTACTTCCATTTCTGTTGCAGCGATGTCTTCGCCAAAGTTCTGCATAACACAAGTTGCAAACTGTTGAATATCAATTTCCATAAAGGGTGAAACAACAAACTGCGCTACTAAAGTCATTTCGTTGAAATCTTTAAAACGATTTTTGAAGTTATTCTTCAGGGTAGAAACTATTTCTACATGATATTTGCTGTCATAGGGTTCTAATGGATTTTGAGATATTTTTTCTGAAAGAATAGGAAAATGCTTGGCATCGCTGTTAATTAGGTTTTGTTCCCAAAACTCCAGATTTTTGATAAATGATTTTATATCAGAAATCATTTCCGCTAGTTCTTTGTCTCTCCCCTGAAGCTGCAAATTAAGTTTGTTTAATTTCTCTGTAATGTCCACGAGAAAACCAAAATCTCTAAGCCAGATTGAATTTTCTAGTTCCGGAGTCGGTTCATCGCGTTGTTCGAAAAATTGAACTATGCTAGATAGGACATCATTAAAACGTTTCAGCACCCGTCCTCTACTTAACCATCGGACTTCAGAATGGAGGAGTAGGTCCCCCTAATGACAGTCAACTTCATCGGCGATCGAAAGGTTGGCCACCACTGCACTAGGTGAAACGAGCAATCAAAATACTCTTACTTTTTTTGGCGACTGTGAATTTTCATTCAGAAAGAAACTTCTGTTTAGTAAAAACTTCATTTATCCTGAACTGTTTTCAAATAATTCGAAAAACAAAATAAAATTTTGTTTCTTATTTTGATAAAACTTGTTCTCTTTATATTAGGAAAGTTATAACCCAACGAACGAAACGACTGAACCAGTCGTACAGCCAAAGTTTTTGTTTCTAGACCACCGGAAACTTCTGGAACTCCAACTCCGAAATGATTAAAAAAGGGATAATAAAAGTATAAAATACAAGTTTTCATCAATAAAATAATTTCACTGATTTGTATTTCATTCCAACTTATTGGTATTGTATCGACAAATTGAAAAATTATTGTACATTTGAAATTTGTGAGGTAAAATTGGAAAAAAAGAGAATATGAAATAAAAACTCAATTCCCGTTGGCCATTCGGTTTGTTTCCACATAACTTCGTATACATTATGTTTTTTTTTTTAATTTTAATCCTTTACCGCATACTCTTTTATAAAATTTCCAAATTTCATGTGTACAATATAAATTCTGTGATGGCTAACAACATATGTGAGTAATCGAAGGCATTAACATTTTTAAATTAATATTTTGCAAACATAATTTAATGCCTAAAAAATGTTATTGGTCAAGTTTTTGGATTTTTATTCTGTAATATTCTTTTTTGCGTAGCCACCGAGCTCAACAAACTTAAATACTTGGTATTTCTTTATTTTTATTTTTCCACCTGGGATTTCTTTTAAATTATAAATTTTAATGACTTCTATAGACAGTTAAAAAATAATTATAAACCTTAGAATTTTGAATAACTTTATATTTTACCCGCTTGAAAACCCTTTCAGTTCGACCCATCATATGTTGCTGACACATTTTCTACATTATTTACTTTCTATTTTCCAACTTTTTCTTTTGTTTTGCAAGCTCTGTATTTAGTTTTTTTTGAGGCTTTCAATTACTTTTGCGAGATTGTTGTTTTTAATTTCAAAGAGTAGATATACATTATTGTTTTATTTGTATTAGTGATGAGAGTGTATCATAAAATCTTATATAAGTGATTACACAAGTCAAAAAATAAATAAATGCTATCTAATCTATTATAGAATATTAAAAACCGAAAGAAATTGACTAAATTAAGTTTTTATAGGTAAATATAGGGAGTATGCTCAGTGTGACGGTATCTGAAATTTGGTCTGATTTTAAGGCAAAGACCAATATAAGCCTAAAGCATATATTGTGCTTAAAGGACGAATTTACCTGCTTATTTGTTATTTATTGCAGAGCACCGCTAAACCTAACTTATACCTATAACCAGAATTCTAGGAGAACGAAATCAAATCACTATTGTTAATCTGTTAATCAAACTCCGTTCCATTTATTTACAATAATACAGTCTGTTCGCTATACTTGCGCGGGTTTAGGATTTAAAATTTTATGAGTATTTCCAGGTAAGTACCCGAAAGTTTGACCTGTTCTTTGGGGAAATATCAACTGGTTAAATGAAATGAAAAATAATGTACAACTTTTTAATTAAATAATAATGGAGAATCTTTTGTATAATTGAGGGCAGAATTAAACTTCTTCATTAATGGAGTCTAATGTGGCTATTATAAACCTAATGTTAATTTTATATTACACTTCACACAGAAAATATGGTCTATGTATAATAAGAGGGTTATTTAGCTCAAATAAAATATTTTCTAACATAAAAATTTGTTCCATGTAGAAAATTTCAAATGAAAAATAAAAAAATTGAACTTGCCAACAAAAATGAAAATCAGTCATTATCATCGGAAATATCATAATCGTCATCACCACTAATTGTTATTATGATTGGACTTATTTCGTTTATTTTATTTTCACGAGTCCACCAATCTTCTATTAGTTTCTCGCACTTGGATATACAGTTCCTCCACACTTCTGGAGTTGCAGTTGAAAGTGCTTTTCGCCAAGTTTCCCGAACTGCGTCGTCACTATAACCATTAGGCCCAATATGGTTGTCATAATATTGTTTTGCCATTCCAAATATATATTCGATGGAATTAAACTGGCAATGATACGGTGGCGGACTTAAAACTTGATGACCGTAACTTTTAATAATCTGATCCACAACAAGGTTTTAGTTTTGCGTGTATATTTGCCAAGCGTAATAATTCTGATTTTAATATATATTGAGGAAATGGTATATGTTCCTTTGTCAACCATTCTTTAATTTTATCAACAGTCCAAGAATTCGTTGGACTTTTGTTTAATACTTCAGAATGTATAAAGTGTATTGTCTAAAATAATTACGCTGGGCTCACTTAAACCTGGGAGAAATTTTTCATGCAACCATTTTACAAACATTTCTGTGTTTATGTTATCGTGATAGTCACTGGATTTTGATTTAGATGAAAATATTAAATCAGCACCTTCTATAAAGCCCGATTTTTCTCCTGCATGTAAAATTATGTGTCGCTTCTCTTCTCCATCGGTATGTTTGATGGACTTTACGTTATCATCTTGCCATATTCTCTTGGTTGCACCCCTAGAAAATATCCATGTTTCGTCTAAATATATAAAATTCGCCCCTTCTTCTTTAAATTTAGAATATTTTCTTAGAAAGTTATATTATCTTGTGCACGACAGAACTTCTTTTACAAAGGGCCTTTCTGTTATCCTCCTTTTGAAATTTGAAACCTAAGTTATGTATCACTTGCCATAGACTTGTTCTGCCAATGTCGTCAAATTTTCTATATATTAATTCCGAGAGAATTGTATTTAAGGTCACATGTTCCTTGTTGGCCCTCATTCGATAAATGGTATCACAAATTTCAAATTTCTTTCCATCTAGAATATCTTTCGTTATCAATGATGGGCGAGTTTTGCTGTGATCTTCTTTTGGCAGTTCATTATTGTGATTTTGTAATACTGGTTTCACTAATTCCTAGAGCATCGCATACGCGTTGTTGTACTAACATTACCGATTTTAAAGGACCGTTATTTTCTTTTTCATCCGTAAAATACTTATGTACACTACAAATTAGACTATGTACATCTAACACACGTCTAGGCATTTTTAAAATTTCCACTAAATTTACAATATACATACAATGTCAACACTTGCAAAAAATCAATTCAACTGCAATATTTGTAACAAATTTAGTACCTACCCTAATGTTATTTTAATTTAAATCTGACTATTAGGGCAATTTTACCTAATTTCTTGGGAATAGGCTTATTGGAACCAAATTAATATTTTTGGTGTTTCCATTATGGCACATCGCTTGTAAATATTTTTTATTTATGCGTTACTGCGACATTATTTTAAGACAATGGAATTTGTGCAGTTACAATTTATATTTTTGTTCTTTCTTTAAATTTAAATAACATCAATTTGTTTCTCTGTTCTCTTGATCTACCGTAACAGGTATGAAAAAAAAATGATAAGGAATTTGGTAACACACCATAGAGAGCGAATACTAAATTATTTCTCAAACATTTTTCCAGTTATCCAACAAAAAAATATAAAATCATATTACTCATATCTACTGACATATATTATGATGCTATAAACCATAAACGGGAAAGACTTTCATTTGAAAAGCAAAAAATAGCATTAAATATTTAAATTGCTCTATGTATACACTTTTTATGGTCCAAACTTTATTCGAAATAAAATGAAATTATTTGAGATCATCAACCGTGTAATAAAAAATAAATTATCTTTTTTTTTTATTTCCAGGCATTTGAAGAACTCGAAGATAGCCTCGCCAGGTACTCAATCTGCATAGCAATAAAAGAAAAGTTAGTAAAGGATTCAGGAGTAGCTAAGGAGTCGGCTTACGACAGCATGATTCAAAAACTCATGACAAAGCCTAGATCTAGAGGTAAGTACAAACAAATATTTAAGTTCAATTCCTGATTTTAATATATCTACTAATTTATAAAATTTATAAAATAAATCATCAATAAAATAATAAAGGACTTTAAATATGAGTAACACAAAATTAGAAAATTTAATAATAATGTATTATGTATTGACAACAAACTATTCTATTAAGAGCCACCTTTTCATTATTTAAATACAGTTAGTCCAGTATTTTATCATAAAAAACCACTGTTAAACATATAAAAAATTCGAATGCGTATATTTCAAGATAAGAGAAACTTTATTAAAGAAAGTAAAAAAAAATACATTTTCATATGTTTCTAGTATTAAATCGATAAAATTTTCTAAAAAAAAACTAATAATTAGGAAAGAAAATGAAGTAAGTAAAAGTGTAGTTACTGTGATTAAACCAATATTTACTTACATTCAAACCTTGGACATTAAACAAAAAAACTAGACCATTAAATAAATAGTAAAGGCAATTGAATCAAATTTGTCAAAAAAGATTAAATTAAAAACACATTTATGAGATCAAAATCTCAATTGTAATTATTATTTCAATTGAAATCTTCCTAAAATCATTTATTCGTATTTGTTTGTTATACTATTTTTTACTCTTTTATACAAACAGAGAATGTGGTAATATTTTATTCCGAATGTACAATTCCAGATTGTAAATTAATAAATGCAAGCTCGTAACATTTATATCTAATTTTCAACAGAATTGTTCTGCATTATAATTGGATCTAACAAAATCGCGTTCATGTTCATGGTCAGATTTAAGGTTTAGTGAATATTTCAATGTTATGTAATTTTCATACTTACAGTTTGTTTTATACCGGAATTATATTTTAATTTTAGAATTTTCGTCGGATTGGTAGTATATTTAGGATTGTAAAATTATCTTTTGCAGGATTTTGTATTAGGACTATCTTCTTCTTAACTATTTTCTTAGTATGTTTATCTCATTTCTTCATTATGTGTTTTATATTCTCATTCATTTCGCCTTTCATTTCAATGAGCATTTACTCTTGCTTTTCTTTATTCCTTTTTTTCTGTTTGTCTTCTTCCATAACTGTGTCTTCTAAATGTTGCTCATCCTATACATCTCTATCGTCTTATAATTTCCTTAAGTTTTTCTGTCAACCCAACTTTATTTCCCCCTCTTAAAACTATTTTATTTTTTTGCAACTGATATCACGAAATAACACTTATAATATTGACACAGTCACTAGTATATCAATATAGAATATAGAATATAAAATAATAAATAAATAGTCTCTGAATACCTTATTCTATCCTATATGTGAAGACTCATCATTATATAAAGTCAGAATAAACAATCGCGCTGCGACGAGCATACAATATTTTCGGAGTTTTGTGTATTTATGGTGGGGAGTAGAGGAATACCGCTAATATATATATAGTTTTTTATGGTTACGTATCTAACAAAACTCCATTAACAAATACAACAAATTTCATACAATATTTATAATCCTTTTTCCAACCCCTCTGGCTTTTTCGTTTTTTTATTGACAATTAATCAAATCCCCTTAACAAAACAATTTTTTTCCCTGACTATTACAATTTTTATACAACCCCGACAAATTTTTCTCTGGCACAATCATTATTTATTCTCCATAAATTTGCATATCAATACATTTTTAAATCGCATCTAATGGATCGTTGTCTAAAGGGCTTCATTAAGTAATTAGTTATTAAATTTGTTCATGTAAATCCATTTTGATGAGTTCAAAGTACGGTCGTTTGAATGTTTCAATAAGATTATTAATAGAATATCAATAGATTATTAATTGATGAAAATAGTTTTTAAAAAAATTGTGAAATCTATTTGAGCAAAAATTCGTATTACTATTTAAAGTTTGGGTTGAATCAACGATGTTAAAAATATATATAGTCAATTCAAAATATAAGTATTAGTGTTGGAAATATAATCCCTAACATCCGATAGCTTCGAATGGAATAAAAAGAAACCTGTCAATAGCTACTTACTCGATTTTTGTTGGATGAGAGAAGATTAGGGCAATAAAAGTTCCGGCATCAAAATAACATATTTTGTAGTTCACTCACGTTCTGCGAGTTATGGCTAGAATTTGGAAATCTCCAGAGAAAATACAAGAGAATATAACGAAAATCTTCTAAAGTAATTTAATTGAAGATGTATGTTAGAAAAGCTGGGAATCAATGAATTTAGAAAAGTAGATGAAGTGGTAGTGTTCTCGGAATAAAAATCTTATATAAATCATGTGGTGACTAAGGAATATATTATTTTAATCACATAATAAGCGAACTTTTACTTAACTTAAATAAAAATTTTTATAAATTTCAAAGCTTTGATCCAAATTCAAATTATAAATACCTAATATATTATTTAACACTTTCATTTGGAAAGGAAGTTTCTTTATGGCGGTCTTTAATAATATATTGAGGCATATTACAGCTTGGAATGGCATTACTGATGGATCCGTACAGTAATTAGTTCATAAACTAGAGATTTAGAACCGCACACTAATTAGTTCATAAACTGGAGATTTATTCGGGTTTAACCTCGTTTGGATAGTTATTAACATGATAAAAACGAAGAGTTGTGAGAACAGGATGAAACTTTAAATACAATCTTACCTTGGTCAAAGATGAAATCAAGTAAATCCTTTTTTATTTTCTTCTTGATTGTAATTTTGTTTTGGATTAAAAGTGAGCTGTGAACTCCTAGAAAAAAGCCTAAAATCCGTCGATTTTTATGTGGACGGCTGTCTATTTCAAGAATAAAGGTCCACGTAAAGCAGTTGCTGCAGTAACAGCTGAAGAAAATGTTGATTTAAATCATTTATAGAAATAGACAACGTCTCTATCTACTTGATGTAAACAAAATATCTAGTTTCTTGGTGTTTTACTACCTTTAAGAAGATGTTTCTCTAAATTTCTTCTTAATTTTGCTATGGAATATGAAATTAGTTCTTGTTTGGGATATTACAGTCTGTTCGCTATACTTAGCTGGTTTCGGATTAACAAAATTATGCAAATTAGTCATTGACAACCAGTTCCAATATGCCTCTTCCCAAGAAATTAGGTAAAATTGCCCTAATGGTCAGATTTAAATTAAAATAACACTAGGGTAGGTACATTGTATTTATATTGTAAATTTAGTGGAAATTTTAAAAATGCCTAGACGTGTGTTAGATGTAGATAGTTTAATTTGTAGTATACATAAGTATTTTACGGATGAAAAAGAAAATGGCGGCCTTTAAAATCGGTAATGTCTGTACAACAACGCGTATGTAATGCTCTCGGAATTAGTGAAACCAAATAAAAAGGAGTATTACAAAATCACAATAGTGAACTGCCGAAAGAAGATCACCGCAAAACTCGCCCATAATTGAAAACGAAAGATATTCCAGATGGAAAGAAATTTGAAATTCGTGATACCATTTATCGAATGAGGGCCACCAAGGAACATGTGACCTTAAATACAATTCTCTCGGAATTAATATATAGAAAATTTGACGACATTGGCAGAACAAGTCTATGGCAAGTGATACATAACTTAGGTTTCAAATTTCAAAAGAAGGATAACAGAAAGACCTTTGTGAAAAAAGTTCTGGCGTGCACAAGAGAATTAACTTTCTAAGAAAATATTCTAAATTTAAAGAAGAAGGGGCGAATTTTATATATTTGTACAAAACATGGATATTTTCTAGGAGTGCAACCAAGAGAATATGGCAAGATGATAACGTAAAGTCCATCAAACGTACCGATGAAGATGGGAAGCGACACATAATTTTACATGCAGGAGGGAAATAGGATTTTATAGAAGATGCTGATTTAATATTTTCATCTAAATCAAAATCCAGTGACTATCACGATAATATGAACGCAGAAATGTTTGTAAAATGGTTGCATGAAAAACTTCTCCCAGGTTTAAGTGAGCTTAGCGTAATTATTTTAGATAATGCACCTTACCATTCTGAAGTATTAAACAAAAGTCCAACGAATTCTTGGACTGTTGATAAAATTAAAGAATGGTTGACAAAGAAACATATACCATTTCCTCAATACATATTACGACGCAGTTCGGGAAACTTGGCAAAAAGCACTTTCAATTGTAACTCCAGAAGTGTGGCGGAACTGTATATCCAAGTGCGAGAAACTAATAGAAGATTGATGGACTCGTGAAAATAAAATAAACGAAATAAGTCCAGTCATAATAACAATTAATGGTGATGACAGTGATGATGATGACGATTATGATATTTTGGATGATAATGACTGATTTTCATTTTTGTTGGCAAGTTCAATTTTTTTATTTTTCATTTGAAATTCTCTACATGGAACAAATTTTTATGTTAGAAAATATTTTATTTGAGCTACATAACCCTCTTATTATACATAGACCATATTTTTTGTGTGAAGTGTAATATAAAATTATTATTAAGTTTATAATACCCACATTAGACTCCATTAATAAAGAAGTTTAATTCTACTCTCAATTATACAAAAGATTCACCATTATTATTTAATTAAAAAGTTGTACATTATTTTTCATTTCATTTAACCAGTTGATATTTCCCCAAAGAACAGGTCAAACTTTCGGGTACTTACTGTTACGTACTAAAAGTACCTTACTGAGCAATATAATTAAAATTTACATTAGTTACCTTTTTTTATGATTCTATCATATTTTCAATTATATATATATATATATATATATATATATATATATATATATATATATATATATATATATATATATATATATATATATATATATATATATATATATATTTAAATTTAATTAATTCCATACCTCAATCTGATTCCAGAGTCGAAACTATAAAATTTTATATGCTATTTTTCGTGAAGAATCCAATAATTTTGGGTGGCTGGTTCCCCCATATTTCATTTCTAAAATAAAAGAAAATAATAATTAGAAATATTCAAATATTGTAAACAAACAAATATAACCTTGTCCAAGAATTG